ATTCTGGTTAAAATCCTAGCTTAAAATCTTCTAAAATCCTTTGAGAGCACTCTGCAACGTCCTTTAAAACCTTAGCTAAAATCCTACAGTACTCCTTAATTTTTCAATAGCCTGTCGAAACGTTGCTATTAGAAAAACTTTTAAGGTACTGGTAGGATTTTAGCTAAGGTTTTAAAGGACCTTGCAGAGTGCTCTGTAAGGATTTTTAGAAGATTTTAAGCTAGGATTTTAACCAGAATTTTAAACATTTTAACTAATTTATTTAACATGATGCGGGAAAACACCAAGATTTTAATTTTTGCGCAACACAAACACACACACACACTATATTTTATTACACACACACACATATATATATATATATATACACACACACATACAATATATATATATATATATATATATATAATGCGTAGAGGTATGCAAGTTTTGGTGTATTCGGGTCTTTTCCCGTGTAAGATTGAGAGTATCTTGGCGACGTTTCGACGAGGTCCTACTTGTCATCTTCAGGCTGGTGCCTTTGGCTTCGTGCCTGTGTGAGCAAAGCTTTGCTCACACAGGTACGAAGCCGAAGGCACCAGCCTGAAGATAACGAGTGGGACCTCGTCGAAACGTCGCCAAGATACTCTCAATCTTACACGGGAAAAGACCCGAATACACCAAAACTTGCATATATATATATATATATATATAAATACATTCACAATACATATAATACTTATTAGTTATAAGAAGTGAGTTAAGAAGTCCAACTGATTTCAGTGAGACATAATACAGTTTTTTTTTTCTTTAGCCAAATCTCAACCATAATATCAGAAAAGCAAATATGTTTCCAATATATTCTCAAGACAAGAATCCAAGAAGTGGAATCATATCTGCCTATATCAATGTGCACTTGAAATGTCAAGTGAATAATAAGGGTTCTTAAAACAATTGCATGCTAACTATGACATTCATTGCATCAGCAATTACTTTAATAATTATCTCTTTGAGATTCAGGCATATTTTATGCTCTTATTTTACAGTATGTTCAAGATAGCTTGACTCCATGTTGCTCTATGTGTGTGTGTGTGTGTGTGTGTATAATTTATATTTTGCTGATAAAGAAATAAAGGGAGACTAGTATAGATCTATTTCAAGTTATTTAGCTCTCATCAGCTAGCCATACCCTTACTCGGATTTGATTCCTCTGCTTCTGAGCCCTCCCATTTTCTGTTCTAGAAGAGCATTTTTGTAGGCAGGAATATATGCTTGTATGAGTTTACAAACATGTCTATTACAGAATAAAATAACAGAGTTGGAAGGGACTTTGGAGTCCTTCTAGTCCAACCTTCTGCTTAGGCAGAAAACCCTACACCACTTCAGACAAATAATTATCTAATCTCTTCTTAAAAACTTCCAGTGTTGGACCATTTACAACTTCTGGAGGCAAGTTGTTCCAATAATTAATTGTTCTGTCAGGAAATTTCTCCTTAGTTCTAAGTTGCTTCTCTCTTTGATTAGTTTCCATGCATTGCTTCTTGTTCTACCCTCAGGTGCTTTGGAGAATAGTTTGACTCCCTCTTTTTTGTGGCAGCCTCTGAGATATTGGAACACTGCTATCACATCACCCCTAGTCCTTCTTTTCATAAGACTAGACATATCCAGTTCCAGCAACCATTCTTTATATGTTTTATCCTCGAGTCTCCTAATCATCTTTGTTGCTCTTCTCTGCCCTCTTTCTTGAGTCTCCACTTCTTTTTTTACCAAAACTGAATGCAGTATTCCAAGTGTGGCCTTACCAAGGCATTATAAAGTGGTATTAACACTTCACATGATCTTAATTCTATCCCTCTGTTTATGCAGCCTAGAAGTGTGTTGCCTTTTTTGGCAGCTGATACACACTTCTGTCTCATATTTAAATGGTTGTCCACTAGGACTCCAAGATCCCTCTCACAGTTACTATGATTGAGGGAGGTACCACATATACTGTACCTGTGCATTTTGTTTTTCTTGCTTAAATGTAGATCCTTACTTTTTTCACCATTGAATTTCATTTTGTCAGATAGCGCCCAATGTTCAAGTCTGTCAAGATCCTTCTGTATCTTAAGTCTATCTTCCAGAGGGTTGGCTATTCCTGCTAGCTTGGTGTTGTCTGAAAATTTGATGAGTTCTCCATCTATCCCCTCATCCAAATCATTGATGAATATGTACAGCATAGCAAGTCTTTTTTTTCTATGCTTAAAACTGTTGACTGTATCATCAATTATGTCCCCTGTGCTAGTTGTCTACAGTATAATCACTTTAAAAATGTTTTGATGAATAGTGTATTGAATTCATCATCATTATCATGAATTAAGGATCAGTTAGTGAATTCATGCTTTGTGTATAGAAGGTCCTAGGATTAAACACCATCTTAAGGCTTGAGAAGGATCTGGCTTCAAGGCTCCCGAAAACTGCTTCTATGGAGTGAAGGTTGTAAATAATATATAATTATTTTATTACTATCCAATAACCTTCTAATGCAAATCCCTAAGAAAAGATCTTTTGAGGAAGAATAAAAGTTGAAAAATTGTTTTAAGTGGACCATTCTACATGTGTTGGTTTTAAAACCCCACCAAGGTGATTGGGGTTTGGGGGGGAGAGAGATGAAATTGAACATGCCTAGATAAGTCCTTATTTTGGGGGGAACTCTACTTATAAATATCAAGATGCCTTTGTTTTAATCATTTAATTTATCATGGGGTATAGATGTCTCCTAATTTTCCACTAATAAAAAGATGGTATTACTCATTATCGATTTTTCCCCTCCTTCATTTTAGCTCTCAAATCTTTTGAGTATTATATCAAAAATAAAATGAAAAGCTCTAGTGGCTATGGGGATATTACATTCAAGAATTTATTGGAATCTAGGACAATAAAAAGAACTTTACCACACAGCAAATAAAGAGGCTGGTTTTAACCTTCACAAATATTAAATTTTATCAATAAAAATCTAACTGCTTTGAGACTGTTAGATGTTTTTTTTCCTAACGATACCTAGAGAACACCTATTGCTTTTATTTTTTTCAAAAAGAAAACTGTCTTGAGACTATATTATGATTTTTATGGTAGTTGTTTTATATAGGGTAAATGTTGTTAATAAAGTCCTATCAACGGAAGTAAAATGTGCATAGTTATCTTTTTTAATGAATAGGTCTTATTGTGTTTAACTACTTTAAACTGATCCCAGCATGGAATATACATTAGGTGCTCCCCACAATAGGATAAAAAAACATTACTTAACTTTTTGCTTTCCAAACTGGAGGTAAGATGTCACGTTGACCCTTCTACAATCTGAAGAAGCTTGATCAGGAATGGTCTTTGTGGAAGGATAACCTCTTTTGTGAAGGGGGAACAGGGTGAAAAGGTTAAGATATGCTAAAGCTCACAAAGATTGGACAGAGGATCAGTGAAAAAGAGTGTTATGGAGTCATTTTGGCATAAAATATAGGACAGGGTTAGCAATGACAGAGTTCTGTTCCATTTAGGTTTATGGGAGCCAGATGTACTTGTCACTTACTTGCCCTACATGCCACTTTAGCTTATCAAAACTGGGGGTTTTTTTTCCAGCTTTTTTCCTGTTTTTGAATACTACATACAAATTTCCTGTACTTTGTGATTATATTTTAGTAGGAATACTGAGATATAATTATATATGGTCATTCTACCAATGTTACAACAGCAAATCTAATGGTGACCTAAGACTTTTGCACAGTACTCTCTCTCTCTCTCCCTCTCCCTCTCTCTCCCTCTCTCTCTCTCTCTCTCTCTCTCTCTCTCTCTCTCTCTCTCCACACAAACACACACACAACTCACGTACATCATCACAGGCTCAATATAGATTCTATGTTGGACTTCAGAGGATCACAGCACTGTCCAGATGCAAATTGCCACAATTGAATGCCATCAAGAGACACAGGCAATAAAGAATATTCTATGTTCTATGTTCCTGCAATTCATGCTCCCTCAAACCTGTTGGGGTTCCTTAAATTAGAAGCACAACACCTAGCCATGGGCCTGCCATATAGCCCTTTTCTGGACTTCAACAAAGCAAATTTTGGTAAATCAGAGGAATGTTATTTAAAGTTCCAGAACATGAGGTGCCATGGGAAAAGGAACTCAACATGAGCATAAATTACTTAAGAAGCAACATTAAAAGCATATTTTAAACAATTCCAATCAGGAGAGGGGGAAAAAAGAGGATAAGGAAGAGAAAAAGCCAATCAAGCTCTACAAAAAACTTCGAGGAGATGGGAATACAAAATACATATACAGGAAATGGAATTAGCAGATGATATAGGTGAATGCTTACATAACCTTAAAGAAATTTGGAACTGGTGAACTTCCCAATAGTAAGAGCAGAGGGAAAACAACCACCTGTCAGGGATGCTTTAATCTGGATTCCTCCATTGAACAGGGAGTTGGACAGTGGCCCAAAGGGCACTTTCAAATTTTATGAGTCAGAGTCAGCATCAAGGCAATAAGAGAGCTCCAAGAGGGAAGAGGGAATGGAGTTGTCAGAGAGAGATACAGAGGTGGAGCCTGGGCCATCTGTTAGCCCTCAGATGGAGAGTCAACAGCCCCCATGTCTGGAAGTGGCTGATGAGGAAGAGGAAGAACAATTGGGACCAGTGCCTGACATGTGGATGGGCAGAAGGCAGAAGAGAGTAGAGCAATGGAAATCTGTGGACCAATCCTTGGGATGGAAGAGCCACCGCTGTTAGTGAAGCCCCACCCTAGCTCTGGGGATAAAATGTAGGGGGTGGAGATGAATAGGTGTGGCAGACAACTATTCCTCTTCCTGCCGGACAGACTTGTTAGCCTACGTTGAGAGAGAAACTTTTTGCTGGGGCTGCTGGCACTCCTAATACAAGAATAATTGATTCAAACACAGTGGGTTTGTCATGCTTGGGGAGCTGGATCGGAACATTTTGATCTAAAACCTTAATATTCAACAGTTATTATAGAGTTAAATCTACCTCTTGTAATTTTCAGAAGAAGGCAGGAATAAAATATACAGATGATGATGTTGATGATGATGATGATTTCCACAAGACAATTGGCACCTGAAGAATGATGGAAAATTTAGGATTAATGGAAGTTTCTGACTTATTAAGTGAGCAAGTTAAAAAGAATACTAACTATCATTATATACCTAATTATATAAAACAAATTAAACAAAATTGAAAGAAAATTAAATGCAGGGAACATAATTAAAGCCATAAATGCTTGAGCCATTCAAGTTATTTGATCTACTGCAAGTATAATTGATTGGCAACAAGTTGAATTAGATAAACAAGAAAATTAATGGCCAGGAATCATGCTTTCCACTCAAGGAGTAGATAGGCTCTACTTTGCCAGAAATAAAGATGGGGAAGAATTGTTACAAGTAAAAAAAAAAAAAAGTGAAAAAAAAAATACATTTCAAGTGATTATATCAAGCACAGGAAGGGACCACTCTGATGGAAAGTGGTATAGAGCATTACATCAAAAGATTATGAAAAAAAAGAAAGTCACTTAAATCTGAATTGATACTTGGAAATCTTAATCTTTTGTGCTCAATATATCTGTGATAATGAAGGAAAATCAGATTTAAAAATATCGTTTTCAATAATTCCTTTAAAAAGAAACTGATGGAACATTCATAGCAGCACAGAAACAGGGTATACAAACAATTATCATCAAAGCCAAAACTGAACATTTTTGAACTGTTGGAATATTTCAAGTATTTAAATCAAAAATGAAATTGTAGATCACCTCATTAGTGGATGAAGCATAATTGCCCAAACTGCCTAAGCATCACTATAATAAAATTGCAAAAAATGTGCACTGGAGTTTGTATAGAAAGTTTGGCTTTATTATTAAGAAAATCTACTGGGACCCTGCACCTGACAAGTATTTGAAAATTAGAATTCAAGATCTCATGGGATTTTTTTCAGACACCTGAAGTACAATACCAGACATTACTAATATTAAAAAGAAAAAAAAGGCATGGTTCATAGATGTAGCAAGAGACAATTGATGAAAAATAAATGAACTATGTAATGAAGTATCTGGATTTACAAACTGAAGTTAAAAGACTTTAAAAGAAAAAGTCATCTATAATATCAATAGTAATCGGAGCTCTTGGGATCTTACCACATGGATTCACCAATTATCTGGGAGTCTTTAAAGTTACTAGAATTTGCAAAAAAATCTCCTTACTTGGAACTTACTACTTATTACAGTAATGTATCCTAGACTCTTGGTTAAAACAAAATCACTAGAAAATATCCAATTGAAAAAAGAGTGATATTTGTTGGGTGAATATATGATGATAATGATGATTCTACAATAGCATTTCTTCATTTTTACTTCAAAAATACCATTCTATTGTCTTGATAGTTTCATTCAGTAAAACAATCTTAATATGAGCCTTTAAAAAGTCAGTATCACTACAAAAATATTATTTATTTGAAGGAAGCAGATCTTCCAACTAAGGCATCTTTCAACTGTGATAAAGCACGAGGTTAAAATATGTAGATAGCAAATTAGCATCCAGATTGGATTGTAAAAAGCCAATTGGGAAGATACCCATACATGCATTTCAGAATAACTGAGCTGATTACATTTATTTTCCCATTTTTTATTGCTAAGCACAAGTAAAACTTGCGGCAGCATGGCAGTTAGCATTTGAAGGATGCCTTGGTTAGAAAAGATTTCTCTATGACTAACATTTTAACATATTAAATACAAGTAAAAATGATCGCATTCATTAGAAAAGGCTCACAAAAATTCATAGCTGAGCAGCAACTTACTATGGATAAACTAGGTTTACAGTTCTAAACATAGGTTCAGTGATGGGTTGCTACTGGTTCACCCCGAACCGGTAGCAGCCCACCCACTCAGACATAATCAAATATGATCTGCGCATGCGCAGAAATGAGTGAACCAGTAGCAAAGGTAAGTGAAACCCACCCCTGCATAGGTTGGCTGACTTTAGGCTTGGAAGCTAAATAGAGATGGGCCTATTTAATATTTGATTAGGAAACTATCAAAAAATAGCATAACTATTGGGGAGGTTTGACAGCATTTCGGAAAAAAGGCAACACCAAATCACCTCTAAATTGTTTCCACAAACATAACATACACATATCCATGATGTGAGCAGGAGTTAACTCTCTTTTCAAATGTCAGAGAATAATATGTAACTACTCTAGAACTCTTGCAAAGATTGCAAATCAATCAATCAATGATTTTATTGGAACATATTTTTTCCTCCAAAGAAAAGGAAAAGTAGAAATAATTTAAATGCAGGTGCAATGCAATTCTGCAGTGCAGCCCAGGTTACTTGTTTCCCATGCTGTTCCCATCTATATCTTAAGCCAGTTCAGCAGTGGGTTTTAAATCCCGTTGCTATCGGCTCACTCGTGAATGTGTGCACGCGCAACGCTTCTGTGCATGCGTAGAGATGTTCGGGTGGGTGGGCGGAGCCTCCCGCCACCGCCACTACTGGTTCACCTGATCCAGAGTGAACTGGTAGCAATCCACCACTGAGCCAGTTCCAGAAATTCCAGTTTGGATTGCAGTGTATTGGGATCTGAACCAGGCTGGTCCATTGTCTGGACTGCAAAATTAGATTAGCTGTCTATACGTTTACTGAAAACCTACCCTTAGTTAATAAGGTAAACTCTGATAGTCCATGGCTGGATTCTGAAATCAATGCCTCACTGATGAATGTTTGCAACCTTGTTACTTTAATGTTCGGCTTAGTGATTCATGTCTTAAATGGGGAGAGAAAAGCATACAGTACAGGGGTGGGTTCTACTTACCTTTACTACCGGTTCGCAATGGGGCCACACGCACACTCTTCTGCTCATGCACAGAAGCGTTTTGATGATGTCGGGATCGGTGGGTGTGGCCTCCTGCCAGTTTTACTACTAGTTCTATAGAACTGGTGCGAACCGGGGGCAACCCACCACTGATACAGTATATTTTGATAGCAATCACCTCTTGGAAAACACTTCTTATCCACTGTGGATGTAATATTCTCTTTCTCTGCTCTATCCCTGCAGCCTGAATTCTGCTTATCGGCCATTCTTTCCCAATTTCCCTTGAAGACATATGATGATCAGTAGTGGTATTCATCCGGTTTAGATGAAACAATAGTAGCGACCCGCAGTGGGCTTGCCCACCCGCCCCGGCACTATGCCACCCTATTTAAGGGTGTGCATGCCCTTAAATTTTTAAGCTGTGTGCATGCATGCAAGCCATGCATACGAGCAAAGTGCATGCATGGAAGACGCACACATGCTCAGAGGGTGCACACATACATTTTCGGTGTGTGGCGAACCAGTGGTAAAATTATATGAAACCCACATATGATGATGATGATGTACCATGTATGAAGGGAGAGGCATAGGTTAAGAACTGGAATCTTGGCATTTGGATATAACACTTATGCCAGGGGTCAGCAACCTGCGGCTCTGGAGCCGCATGTGGCTCTTTCACCCCTCTGCTGTGCTCCCTGTCACTCAAAATATGTGCCACAACCACCAATGTATGACACCCACCGACACGTGATTTATTGAGCTTTTCAACCCCCAGTAGGCCAACCATGGATAAATCCAAGAAAAGAAAAGTTTCAGAAGAAAACAGAACATTTAATTCAACTACATATGCTAGTTTTGTGGCCACTCAAGAAATAGTCAGGCACGGGAAGGGTTTTGTGGCTCCCGGTGTTTTTTTTTTCTGTGGGAAACGGATCCAAATGGCTCTTTGAGTATCTAAGGTTACAGATCCCTGACTTATACAATTGAACAAAACCCAGAGCTTATCTTACCCCTTTAAAATCTACTTTTCCCTTTCCAGAGTTAAGAAGAAACTATGAAACATAACTATGAACTGAGCTCTGAAAACCCTTGACAAGGTGAACCTGTGAGCAATTCAGCAATATTTCAAGTATTTTCCTCTTGCTTTGAGGTCTAGATTATCGAGTTCACAAATGTCACTTTAACAAAAAGTGCTCAGGCACTAGAATCTGCAACATTTCTCAACACATTCAGTAAAAAAGAGATACCACCTAATCTGACCCAAAAGCCTCCTTTTTTCTTTTGAAAGGAGAAAAAAAAAAAACCCTGTCTTCTGACTTGAGAGTTTAGGACCTATCAACACCTACAAGTAGGGAGACAACTGTATGTTCTCTCTGTCAGCTCATCCATATTTTACCACCTCATTTGCAGAATGGAAGCCAACGTTTTGCAAAGCCAGCAGTATTCAGTACAGTTTCTGTTATGCATATATAGTAGACTACTCCCTCTAGCTCTTTTTGGTCTCTGGGTATGATCCAAACTTCACTGAATATGTTTGCCAGCATTACACTGAAAATAGCTGAGGGAAAAAAAAGAGGGAGGATTATTCGGGAACTTCATCTGCTTTCCTGATGAGCACTTAGCAACAAGCCTTAATAATACAACTTCCTCTCAGTGAGAAATGTTTGTGCTTACTCTGCAAGGCAGCCCATTGAAAACTCACCCCATGATGCCAAACAAAAGCTCCTTTTTTAAAAAACAACTCCAGCCCTGTTTACAAGAGAAGAGAAAGCTTTTTTACAATGTGGACAATTTGCAAGTGCGAAAGGGTTGTCTGACTCTGGGGGATTGCTTCCCTGTGAAGCCCATTAATCTTGCATGGGAATTAAAGCGCTTGTCAATATCTCTTGAAATTAACAAGCTAAAATCACAGTAGGTGACAGACAAGTGCCTTTCATATGGCAATAGAAGTGAACTGAGTTAAATAGGAACCATCATCCCTTTCTCTGATTAGTGAGGGAGTTGGAGACAGAGTGATTTGCATATATTAGCAGGAGCTGCATTTCCTGTTCTGGACAAATTGGTTATTTTAAATAATACCAGGTTTGCTGTTCTTACCCACCATGAATAAGTAACATTTTTTAAAAAATTTCATTCTTATATTCCCCCCCTTCCATTTCTTATCATTATATTCCTCTCTATTTATTTTTACTTAAAAAAGATTCATTATATTTTTTAATAACCACGATCCCCATTTAACTGAGTCTTTTTTTTAA